ACAGATTTATTCAAACCAAATAATAACAATATTTTTGTTAATACAAATATCTTCGTATCAAAAATATTATTATTAAATAAAAATTAGAAACAATTGTCATTGTATTAGAAACAAATTTTAGCTACTAAAAATGTTATATGACCAAAAGCTAAAAAAAATCATTTATTAAAATACTATTATTTAAAATGTAATAAACGGTACTACAAATGTCTAGTTCTACTTCCAATATAAGATGTTGACATCATTTGTAAAACATTGTGGTGTTAAATATTGATTCTAATTTTAGTTTCCAAATACGACTATGTAATTCTTATGTTCAAACCTTGATTCTACAAGTTTCATGTCAAATCGTGATTTTAAAAAAAATAATCGACAACATTTTTAAAATTTATTTTTACCGTTGGTTGAATGATTTTATATGTAGAATAAGTATAGATCCAAATACCAAATTTTATAATGCATACAAACAAATTCTGCAATTTTCATCTACCATGTGCTTTAAACATTTGTATCTTTATATGATAAAAATGTTTGATAAAAAAATATACGATGAAAAGAGTTGATCCCCGTTTAAAACAATATACCACATAATTTGTTTTCTTGAGATATATAAATAGATATAATTAGACATGAGATGAGCATGTCATAAAATTATAGTCATGTGTGGTCCATCATAGAATCTATTGGTCCCAAAGTTCTGTGAAATCATCCTCAAAAGTAGCTGATGATGGAACTGGTACATCAACTGTTGTTGTCGACGCATCATTCAACGAGGCAGTGATTTGCGCTCTAGTGTCCAAACTGTATTCACAGTTGATGTCATCATCTTTAATAATCTTGAGAGGATCATAGTTGATAGTGTTGTACCTTATATAGTTTCCGAAGGCGTTATTGTGGAGTAAATGAACATTTTCATCGCGTTGCTTAATTTGAATCAATTGTATTCGACGTTTAGTGGCGTTCCAGTGATTCTTAAATGTGTTTTCGCTTCGTCCGGGAAGTCTCGCAACAATTTTACTCCATTTGGTGCCAACGATCTTGTGAGCTTCAATCAATATTTGATCTTCTTCTTTGCTTCAATTATCTTTCTGAGATC